ATATATATATATATATATAATTACATACTTAATTAGTAAGTAAACACAAAACAAAACTACCACACATTGTATTGTGCAATGTTAAACAGTAAAAAAACATTTAGTATTTAAATCAACATTCAACTAATGTAAAAAATTTTTAAAATATATATAAATATATATATTTAATCAGTAAGTAAACACAAGATAAAACTATTACCACACATTGTATTTTGCAATGTTTAACAGAAAAAAACATTTAGTAGGAACTAAAATGATCAAATTTAGAAAATCAAACTCAGAATTTTCACCATTAATCATCACAGTTAAAAACTGACCTACCCCCTTTCAATTACACACATATAAGCATAAGGCTAATGTTAGACAGACAGGACCAAATCGAGTCTAGGAAATACAGAAGACCAAGCTACCAGAAGAAAAGCAGGAAAATTTATGAATTAAACAGAACATAATAATGATAACTACTAACGAACTTTTATGAAAGTTTTTGAAAAACAGTCTTGCCCTCGACAGTTGAGAACAGTTAAGCCTGAATTTTTAAATTAATTATAGTAATGCACCTAATAACTTTTATTTAATTAAATAATGCACCAAAGAATATAGACTAATAACAGGCAGAAAGTAGACAAATTCCCATACCTCTCAAAATTTTTCTGGCTTTCTAACTATGCAACAAGAGCCGTTACAAATTTATCCAAGCTAGTCGTAAACTTTCTCACGGGAACAAATCTTGTACTATGAGTCAAATTGACGATATTCTGTTCAGAATACAACCTTATACAATACGTTATTTGATGTATGAAAACCTTGACTTTCTATTGGTTATAAGCAATATATAATGAAACGTAAGAGAGAACTATTAACGAATTGTGAAAGAGAGGATGTGACAGGAGGTGTCTGATTTTCTATTCTATAGCTCTGTAACCCAAAATTGAAGACTATATGAATTATGGTTAATTTGAGCAATAACAATTTTATAGAGTAACTTACGTTTAATTTCGTACTTTTTCAATGGATGGTAGATAAAATAGGGATGATGAAATGCTAAGAGAAAATGTGGCACGTGGGTCACACTATTGGAAATTCAGGACTTTTTTAAATATTGCCTTGTAGAATTAAGAACTTAAAACTTGTATACTATTAAAATATGGATTATTAGCTAAGATTTTATGCTCTTCTAATTGGTACAACATACATAAAAAGTGGTTTAATAAAATTTTGAATGTAAGAGACTAAAACTTTATGTTACGCACAGAAAGGGTACCCAGGTCAATAGGGTTAAACATTTGCACTACTACCATACTAGTAAATGTTTATTCTCATTACACAGCCACATTAAACATCTGTATTATATATGTCTGTTGATGTGAGTTGAGATGAATAATCAATGATAAAGGACAGGAAATGAAAATAAACTATATGTGAAAAGAAAAAGATGTTAAATTAGAAAGATAACCAAAAAGAACTTTTAAAGTTATTTGACAAAAAATTAAAAAATATGTAAATTTTTTATTTCTTAATTTTAAACATTTCATTGCACTGTACATCGATGTTAACAGCTACAGTTTAAAGATATGGTAATAAAAAGTAAAATATAAACATTTATCTTAAAAACTTTTGATATTCATTTAGGATGTTTTGGAGGTTATGAAAATGGAATGTGAAAGCCATAAGATGAAAAAATAGTATTTTTATACTTGCAGGTGAACTAGTCAGAGTCCAAGTGCAAATAACTACAATAAATACATTTTTTTTTCAGTAAACTTTACATTTTATTTGTTATTCTCTCTCTAAATGCACTTGGTCAAATTGACCGACCTTGTAACCACAATAAAAAAAATCTAAATTACCCTTTTTTCTTTCTAAAATGAATGCTAATTGTAACATAAAACTCCAGTTTTAACCTAAGTAGCTTAAAGCTTGTAACAGTATAGATATGTTAACCAACAACCCTTAGCTCAATTTTAGGAATTTCCAGGTTGTCCAAAGAACACCCTCAAAAAAGATCCAATTATGACAATATTGATGTACAAAGACCCTAAAAAAGACCAAATTTTGATATTTCTATATCTTATTTAGTTTCAAAAATTACAATCAATGTTTAGTTGCCAATTTTTCATCTTTATTCAACTAATTTTTGACACCTTATTTCCCGGAAAGTTTTGTTACATTGGAAAAAATAAGTTCGAACCATGCTAATGCTACATGGTATCTTAAGGAAACAAACAATCAATAACCCATAAAATTTTAAACTAAACAGTGATTTTAGCCTGCCCATAAAGAAAAACCCATTAGCGGTACTAGACTTGCATTGGATCTCTCACACATACTACTATACCGTAATACATACATAATGCCTGAGCTCTGCACGTGGACACACCACTGATATATATATTGTCATCCATACTCATAGTTTGTATTGACCTGAAGAAAGGCTAAGCTAGCCTTATTTTATTTATTGTTATTCTGTTTCATATTGATCAAAAATACTTTTCCTCATCTAAAAAATCTCAAATTTCCTTTGTGTAATCCCTAAAACCTCCTAAATGCATTTCAAACGTTATTTTTCAGTAAAACTTTATAGCTTATCTGTTATTTTCTCTATCCTATCACAAAACGGGATTGGTCAATTCAACCAACCTCATAACCACCAGAAACAAAAATAGAATTAAACCTCGTGAACCATTTTAATTATATTATTATTACTTATTTTACCTAATCTAGTCTTAAATAACTTAAAAAGATCCGAATTTTTAGATTTAAGTTACTTTTATAATAATAAATACCAGTAGCTTTCACAATGCTATGAAATCAACAGTGGACTATTTATTAAGTAAATCAATTACAAATTATCATACGAACTCTAAGATATCTAACTTTATGCATTTCACATTTTACAAAATCCATTATATTTTTGGAGAAAATGCTTTATATCCAAGAGCATTTTCAGTCAAAATGCTGCACAGAATGACAAAGCTCCTGGACCAGATAATGCTTCCCCAAGGGTTTTGGAAGAGGTTAGGATTTGGATACGGTAGCCTCTCGGTACTATGTTTTTTTAAGTTCTTGAGCAGTGGGCAGGTTCCAGAAGACTGGAAATTAGCTAGTCTCACTCTTTAAGAGAGGTGACAGAACTTCTCTGGATTATTATTATTCTTTCATCAATGGTGGTAAAAGTTTTTGCAACTTCATTTAACAAAGCTCAACATTTTATTGAAGAGTCAACATGGTTTCATTAGGAGAAAATCTTGCCTTACTAATCTTTCTTTGAAGAGGTTAGTATTTATGCGAATTAGGGTCAAGGTACAGATGTGGTAAATCTAGATTTTCAAAAAGAATTTGACAAGGTGCCACATAAAAAGGCTTATTAGAAAAATTATCTCTTTGGATATTACGGTTATCCCCTTTGATTGACAAATGGCTGGATGGAAGAAAGCAGAGAGTTGTTTTAATACCATTCAGTGACAGGACATCTGCTTTTTTTGATGAACACCAAAGCACAAAAAGAAGTGGTTGGTAAATTGCTTAAGGTCTTGGCTGTTGCTGATTGTGAGATTATCTCTTGAGAAATTAAGAGTTGGATAGGATGTGATTGTTCAAGATTATCAAGGGAAATGATAGTACTAATACAATATTATTTTTGTAGTTAATGGTGAGAACGGAAGAACAATGGGGGCATGGAAATAAATTTTGGAAAGAAGAAGCCATCTTCATCTTATACAGTTTGGATTTTCTAACAGGCTGGTTGGCTTAGATGTGGTGAATGCAGTGAGTTTAAGGGAAAGCTCGATAATTTTTAAATGATTAGGGCTGGGTTTGATTTTGTAAAATCTGGATGGGACAGCTTTGATGGATAAACAAGCCCTTGTTTTTCTTAAATGTTATGACAGCTTAGTTTTTGCACGAATGATGCGTACCACATTTTGTATCTAAGCTTTTCATATATATTTGACTACGTATGTTATAATCTTTTAATATTTAGTCAGTAGGACTTAACAGTACAGCTTGCTGAATACCTCATGCACACACTGATAAAGAAATCATGGTTTACATTAATGCTGCCACCAACTAAAATGGTAGTTAATATATGTATATATACAAAATAGTATACAGCATTTTGTAATTTTCATTAGGTATTCTTCCTATAACTAGCAGTCCAACTTTACAGGGATCCTACCGTAGACAAAAGTAATGAAACAATATTGTTGTATTAATTTAAATATGTTCGCTACTGAGGGTTTGAGAATTAAAGGGTTAAATATATAGTATTGTTTTAATGTTTAGATGTACACAGAATTTTCAGGAACTTGTATGATTCCCTACATATCTACCCATTTTTTCCCTAGTAATATAATGAAAGATGTGTGAAAAAAACAACAACCACTTACCCAATGGATCAAATATAAGAGTAAAACATGTTGTCCCGAACATTTGGTGGAATGAATTCCATACTGCTGATTTTAAAACTTATTACAGAAGCAATATTCAAAAAGTCAATGCTATCATGCTACAATATGCTCACTCTTTTTTTGGCTGATATCAGTTATGAACAAAACTACTAGATGTATTACAGTACTGCACTGGTCACTACAGCAGACAGTTAGTATAAAAAACAAGAGCCTGTTAAATATCTCAACTATTTTTTCATCTTTCTGAACTTTTAAAATGATGTTTCAGTAACACTAGCTCCAGAACAGCCATAGCGTGAAATTTTCTGTAACACTAGTCCCAAAACAGTTTTAGTGTGAAATTCCCCATAGCACTAACCCCAAAGCAGCCATAGTGTGAAGTTCCCTGTAATATTAGACCCAAAATAGGTTTAGTGTGAAATTCCCTGTAGCACTAACCCCAAAGCAGCCATAGTGTGAAGTTCCCTGTAACATTAGACCCAAAACAGTTTTAGTGTGAAATTCCCCATAGCACTAACCCCTAAGCAGTCATAGTGTGAAGTTCCCTAAAACATTAGACCCAAAACAGCTTTAGTATGAAATTCCCTGTAGCACTAATCCCAAAACAGCCATAGTGTGAAGTTTCCTGTAACATTAGAACCAAAACAGCTTTAGTGTGAAATTCCTTATAACACAAACCCCAGAGCAGCCATAATGTGAAATTCCCTGTACCACTAACCCCAGCACAGTCTTAGTGTTAAATCCCTCATACTGAGTAATACTTATTTAACAGAAAGCAGAAGAGACAAAATGTTTACCTACTTTTAGAAGGATCTAAATCCATGAAGGTCAAGTATCCAAAGTCTGTTAATTCTTCCAATCTTGATACCACATACTGCATACACACATAAAAGCAAACACTGAAAATGTTCAATGGGTTTTGAACCTGAGAGAGGCTTCACTGGCTCAATACAGCACAATAAAAACAGAACCTACCCTTTGATCATACACAGCACTTAGCCTAAGTCTAGTCCACGTCATGCTGAAAGTGCGGCTCACTCTTCACATTTATAATCACTTATCTTGTTTACACAGTTCATAGTCATTTGTGTAAGGATTTTTTTTTGTAATAACACACACAACAGTTTGTGAAGAAGATAGGTACAGAAAGTGGCCCTTAAAATATCACAAAGGTTCATATTTCTCATAAAGAATAGTGAAAGCCCTCCCTCCCACATCTTAGTTCAATTGACGTGACGGCTCCGAAAACACGTCCTCTGAGAGTTCTCTCTATTTATTTTTTTTTTACCTTACACGTATCAGGCTGGTTTCACTACAAAATATCCGCTTGACGCACAACACTAAATTCTTAACACCAGAAACACACTGATAGGAAGAGTAACAGAATGTAACTTAAACACATGCTTTTGCTTTTCTGTTGACAATATGAAGTAAGTTGCATGTTCCCCAAAACCCTTTCATTAGAAAAAAACAACAAAAATCTCTAATAATTATTAAAAAGATAAATTCTGAGAAAAAAAACCAGAAGTCACTTGGTGTTGTAGTCTATAAAGAACATAAAAAGAAAAAGAAGTAGGAATAATAACCACACAACTTGGTTTGGTTCTAAAGAACATTTTGCTCAATGATTATGATCGTTTTTTTTTTTGTCACCTGACCACCTGGTCTCTAAAGGACCAACTTGTTGTAAAAGAGAAGATAAAAGATTTTTCACAACAATGGCACTGTGGCTTTGTGTTATACGTCCTGATCTCAGCCCATGGTTCAGGATTCCCTGAACATAACACTGGCATTAAGTCTAACCTCATGGGCTCATGTGAACTTCTCCTTGATGAAGAGTGATCTCTTCGGTCACGATGATCTTTGTGATAAGAATCCCTTGATGTTCGAGAACTGTGTATCCTGGTGTGCTTCATTCGTCTCAATGGACCTAAAAGATCGATGTGTTCATCAACAGGAAACAGGCGACACAACTCTTCTCCAACTCTGGGCTCTATTTCCTGGTAAATAAATAACCCACATACAAACAGCCATCACAAAAATATAAAACCCTAAAATTTAAACTAAGTATAAGTATCATCAATATTACACACTGATTTTTATTAAGTCTCACACATTAACATATAAAATTAAGTACTTTTTACATACTTAAGAAGTTCATATACTACATTGTCACAACTCACCATAAAGAACTGTTAAATAACATTGTGTGAAACTACTTACTTTCTCTGTAAAAACAGATGGGACAACAATAATATCAGGGGGATTACTTACGATACTGATGGTATTTTTTTTTCTTCTGAGACTCGTATGTTATTAGTCACTTTGTAATCACGAAAGCTGTGAAGTCACAAGCAGTTTGTTTGTTTGAAGTTAAGCACAAAGCTACACAAAGGGCTGTTCGTGCTTTCCCCAACACGAGTATCGAAACCCTGGTTTCTAGCACTGTAAGTCCGCAGTCATACCGCTGTGCCGCTAGGGGGCGCCACAAGCAGTTTGGTGCATATACAGTTTATAAAATTGGTACAAACCCCATCAGTAGTTTTAGGGTTAAAATCAACAATACATAACAAATACCAACTAACCTGCCCATCCCGTCCTATCTTCACCTGCTTTCCTTCATTCCAAGGGTTGAACAGATGTTGGCTCTTGGTGAAAGGAAGTTCATGCCTGTGTGTGGGAAATATTATGTTAAACTACAAAACTTAAAGCCTATCGAGTTTCAGAGACCATTGGTGTATACTCACATTTCAGATTCTGGCATACCCTAGAAAATTAAAACCCAAAATTTCACACATGCTCAAACAAATCTAAATTAGTTTCAGTGAGATTATTCTTCAATTTAAATGTTTTTCTTCAAACGTCTGCAGAAATTTATACATTGCCAAAAAACTAAATAAACAGTCACGAAATATTTATCTAAGTCAGAAATTACCAAATAGTTGGTTTTTAAGATTTTATTTATTGGCTGGAATTATTTTATGTTCTACTTTCAGACTCGGCCTGATAATCTAACTAATCTGGACAAAGATATATTTATATACGTATATATAAAAGAGAAATTTGTTTGAACAGTCTTGAAAAATGATAATTACATCAAATAATTATTTCAAATTTATTTGGTGTTAGGCCTAAGGAAACCACTATAAAAAAATACATAAATTACCTTGAGTAGATTATACGAACTGGAAAAAAATCATCTAACAGAATTCTGTGTGGTTATATAAAATACATGCAAGATTCAAAATACCATTAATTACAAAAATGACCACAAAAAGGTATAAATTCCTATATACAGAAACCATTAATAAATGAAGTTAAGGCACTGCAAACTAAGAACCATGGATATGTAGACAGGACAGAAAGATCACAGAAACCAATTAATTACCCTTACCTGCATATCCAATCAACTTGGAACACTCCTCCAAGAGCTCTGGCACTGAGTCCAGGAGGTAGGACCCACTGAATAGAAGGACCGTCATGTCTTGAAGATCCAGACAGTCGAGCAAACCCTGCCAAAAAGCTACATTAAACATACTGATAACTGTTTGTTCTCAATACAAAGCTATATTAAACATTAGTGCTATGAACATACTGGTAACTGTTTGTACTCAATACAGAGCTACATTAAACATTTGTACTACAAATACTCTGATACCTGTTTGATTTCAATACAGAGCTACATTAAACATTAATACTATGAACATACTGATAACTGTTTGTTCCCAATACAGAGCTACAATAAACATAAGTGCTATGGACATACTGATAACTGTTTGTTTTCAATACAAAGCTATATTAAACATTAGTACTATGAACATACTGATAACTGTTTGTTCCCAATACAGAGCTACAATAAACATAAGTGCTATGAACATACTGATAACTGTTTGTTCTCAATACAGAGCTACATTAAACATTTGTACTACAAACACTCTGATACCTGTTTGATTTCAATACAGAGCTACATTAAACATTAATACTATGAACATACTGATAACTGTTTGTTCTCAATACAGAGCTACATTAAATATTTGTACCACAAACATACTGATAACTGTTTGATTTCAATACAGTTATATTAAACATTAGTACTACTACCATACTGATAACTGTTTGTTCTCAATACAGAGCTATATTAAACATTAGTACTATGAACATACTGATAACTGTTTGATTTCAATACAGAACAACATTAAACATTTGTACTATTAGGTAATCACTAAATTAATGTCACATTTCGGAACACTTTCATTACCCCCCCCAAAAAAAAACAACAACATACTTCACGTATAATAGTTAAACAAACAGCCTAAACGTTATGTTAGTTTAGCCAATATAATGTGTAAAGTTTAGTATTATATATTAATCCCTTATTGTGATGGCACACGACGAGACACACATTCCGCTTGTAATGCTGATTGGTTACAAAAAGGGAAACAACTCCTCTGTAGCCACTAAAAATATCAAAGAAATTTATGGAAATGTTTTGAACGTTCGTAAGTGTCAACGATGGTTCAGCAAATTTTGTTCAGGTGACTTTAGCCTTAAAAACTATGATGGCTGGGGCTGACATGTTGTAATTGATATTGATGCTCTGAAGATTCTTGTTGAGTCTAACCCAAGGCAACACACTCGTGAAATGGCCCTGAAATTATATGTCTCTCATGAAACAATACGTAAACATCTAAGGAATATGGGAAACTCCATAAAGAAGGTGTTTGGATGCCTCATGAACTCTATGATGATCATCATTTCCAATATGTGAATGGTGCTTCGTCTCTTCTGGCACGTAATGCATGTGAACCATTTTTGGACAGAATTGTCACTGGTGATGAAAAATGGATTCTCCATGCGAATATTAAATGCCAAAAACAATGGCTTAGTCCTAGACAAAAACTACTCTCGACCCCAAAACTTGGACTACATCCGCAGAAAGTGATGCTTTGTATTTGGTGGGACATCAAAGGAGTAATTCATTTCAAACTCCTCAATCCACAGTGAACTGTCAATGCAGAGATTTATAGTCAGCAACTGAAACGTTTAAATCAAGCCATTCGTCAGAAACACCCTTCACACGTCAATCGGCACATTTGACACAACACGATTATGGAGTTGGGTTGAGAAGTTTTCCCTCACCCACCATATTCTCCAGATATGGCACCATCAGATTACCATCTTTTTCATTCGCTGCAACACCATCTTAATGGGAAAACATATACAAATGTGGAAGATGTTAAAGAGGACATTGACATGTTTTTTGCTTCAAAGCCAAGTGATTTCTTGAATCGGGGCATTAACAGCCTGACTGTACGATGGAAACGCATCATCAATAAGAATGGAGAATATTTCATTCAATAAATGTTTTGATATATAAGTTGTTAAGGTTTTTTTCATCTAAAAAACAAAAAACAAACACGAATTTCTTGATGACCTAATACAAACATACTGATAACTGTGTGATTTCAATACAGAGCTAAAATAACTCTCTCAATACGGGCTCTGTCAAACTGATCGACCACATGATCTTTTTTTATTCATTTAAAGTCTTTATAGATTAAATATAATTCTCAATACAGTGTGTATATCTTCACGAAATAGGGCAGTCTTTCAGTTAATATTACAAGTCTTTCACATACAAAAAATCATATATTTTAAATAAAATAAAATAAATATTTGTTCATTAATATATTGAGTATTTGTTTTGAATAGTCCATGTGAAAAGTAGTTTTCATGTTAAAATTACAAATAGGTTTTTCTAGTATTTTATTCCTTGTATCTGTATGTTATAAATAATTTCATCCTTACATTTACGAGTAAAAGCTAAGGTCTGTTTTATTTTGTAACTCTCAAAATCCTCGGATTTCTCACAAATCTGTTACAGGACTTAATTTATTTTAGAAATGTTGACAGTGAACACTCCATTTTTATACCAAAAACTTTGTGATTTTGTGGGCAACTTAAATATTTAAATACTTTAAAAACAAACATGGATGCACTATGTCTGTACACGCAACATTGTAGTAATTTTGTCAAGAACTGTCATGTGCTAACTGGTGCTAGAATGCGTCAAATTTTATATTAAGAAAAATAAACTTACTACAGGCTGTTATAAAAACTTGTTATTTTCTGTATTTATTACTGTTTACAATTAAGTTTAAGGAAAAATAATAAGTTTGAAATTTATTGTTTCAAGTACTTAGTTTTATCAGAGTACCTTTGATCCACTTTTAAGTTCTCCAAGTAGTTTGCTAAGTTCACTTAATCATCGATCAGACAGACAGTTACATCTATCTTATGACGAAAACTGCAAGCCAATATCAAAATAACCTTTGTTGGATTATAGTGTAAAATGAGTTTTTTCTAATGACTATATAAATGTGTATATAACTTCTACATGTAAGCAAAAAGGCTCAAGCAAATGTATAGAAGGTGGGAGTGGCACTCATAAGAGGTTCACAAAATTTATTACTTGTTATTACTGCATTCTTCCAAAGAATTTTGGAATGTATGTGTCAATAGTGTAAGCAAACAAACTTATTGTCTAGATGTACATCTACACAACTAGCATTATATTAACCAAGATACAGAGTGCCAAAGTTGAATTTTGTTTCATAGCTCGTGGGTCATGTGACAATATATCTGAAGTTTTAAGTATTTTTTTGAAATAAAGAACTTAACACTAAGATAACATAAAACTTCGAATCATAACACACTTTACAGTGTTAATTTCATTCACATATATTGATAGTAAAGGTGTTTAATTGAATTATAAATGTAATACAATGACTTGAGCATAAAAGTGTTTAAAGGGCATGAAAGGGTTAGTGTCTACTAACTGGCAGACAGACAACGCACTACTGTATAGTGATGCAAGTGATTAAAACAGGTGACCCTCCAGGTGGCCTATGGCACCATTTCGAGGAAACAGCCACCCACACACAACTTTCGTAATTATGTGATCAGTTATAAAGAATTAAATCATGTAAAAAACAAATTAAAACCTCTAACATTTTTTATGAAACAATAAATTTCTTATCTTTTGTGAATCAGTTTAATTAAATGCTAGGTTTCCTCAAGTGCCCAAACTTCTAAATGAATTTCAGGCATCAATCAAACAGTATAAAAACAGAATCTTTACTGATGAAAGAGCCAGAAAAAAAAGCACTGAACACAGATATTTAACTGTATTATTTCTCTTGTGCTTTTTCTCTAGAGATAGAAAGAGCCCAGAAAAAAATACTTCTTCAAAGACATTGCGCAAAAAAAAAAAATTTCACAATATGACTTCAAAACTAAAGAAAAGCAAAAAAAGCTTGGCGCTTAAATATCAAGACACACAGTAGTTTGTCATGTAGCAAAAACAACCTGCAGGACACACTATGTGTTATTAACAAAAGTGAGAGTTTAGCAATTTTCCACTTTCTGTAGCTCAGACTGTGGTACTCCAAACTATCACATATTATCAGTGGACGTGATCTACTGGACCCTTATTTCACATACCAAATTTCAAGGCAATCCATTAAAAAATACACGAGATATAAAGTCATCAGTTTTGATTGAATTTCTTTCTTTTTTTCTTTGCACCAAAAGTACTGAAATATTATTTGATAGAAAAACACACAATCTATAATTCGGTGTCAAATTTAGTCTAGATATTTTGACTGATTTTTTTATATTTTTCTTTTTCACACTGAAAGTAGGGAAACTTTATTTGATAGAAAAGCATACCTAACTTTTATGGATTTTTTTCAGTTTTGGTACACTGATAATCTTTACAACCTACAATTAGGTGTCAAATTTGGTCTAAATATAAGCCACATGTGCAGTTATTAAAAAAAAAACTGCTCAAATTTGACCGAATGTTTTTTGGACGCCTATGCAAAAAGTCACACGAGCTATAAGTCTGAAATTCTTACCACAACTTCACTTAAGAGTAAAAGTTTTTAGTTTTTTGTCATTTGGATTAAAGACAGCTAATTTAGAACAGCAAAACTATAGGGTGAAAGGATGTGTAGATACATAAGTACTGATTAGGCCAAGCAAACTAGAATATCAGTTTCTAGCTCAAGTTCCCAAAAGAATCATATGAGCAGAGTGGATGGTTATTATTGATTATTCATTGCCAACTTTTCAGCATGAGTTTGCTAAATTTTATTCAATTCTCCTAAATAAAGACCATGTGATATTAGCTTAAGCAATTAGCATAAATAATGATACTTGATACGCTGTACCGTGTGCATGTGGGTGATGTCAAGAAACTATTAATCTAGATTCCATGGCGTTACTATAAAGGAAGTTATTAACACTGTTCTAGAGAGGAAAAGTACCACCACATGTTTTAAAGAATCTGACTGGTTCTGTAAAGTAAAGGTCTGTTCAGAATAATAGGATTGTGATCCTAAAGTTAATGCTTGTTACTATTGATTGTCACTTTCTTACTTACTGTGGTTTGTTGGTGTGTATTGACAAAAAGTCATGATATTTAATCAAAAACACCTTAGGTGTGATC